GGGGGAGGCGTGGATAATGTTTCACTAACCCCAACATCTCGGACATTTCTGTTTCAGACAGGTTGGACCCTCGCAGACTTTTGCTCTCCATGAGAGACTATCTGGGACAGACACAGACACAGACATTACATCAGAGACTAAATAAGACAGACACAGGCACAGACATTACATCAAAGACTAAATGAGACAGACACAGGCACAGACATTACATCAAAGACTAAATGAGACAGACACAGGCACAGACATTACATCAAAGACTAAATGAGACAGACACAGGCACAGACATTACATCATAGACTAAATAAGACAGACACAGGCACAGGCCTAAACATTACATCAGAGACTGTCTGTCAATGACTCCGAAGTCACATGAGAGACTTTCTGAGACAGACACAGACATCACATCAGAGACTGACTGAGAGAGACACAGACACAGTTATTACATTAAAGTCTGAGACAGACACATACACAGAATTACATCACAGACTGACTGAGAAGGACACAGGCCCAAACATATTATATCAGAGACTCTCTGAGACAGACACAGAGACAGACATTAAATCACAAACTTTCTGAGACAGTTTTTTTTAGGAAGCGTTTTACGGCACTTGCAACACAATAAGGTCATATAAGTGCCGAATATTAGACGTATTACAAGAGAGTAACAAACATAAAAAAGGAGGAGAGATAAGGACGATAGATGTTTAATAAGAAAGAAGAAGCAAACCACACTAGAGCACCCGCCATCCACTCACTGTCTGAGACAAACTCAGACATATAATCACACTGTCTGAGACAGACACCGATACAGACATTACGTCGCAGACTGTCTGGGACAGACAGAGACACAGAGATTACATCAGAGACTGTCAGAGACAGACACAGACACAGACACTACAACACAAACTGTCTGGGACAGACACAGACACAGACATCACATTAGAGACTGTCTCAATCTGAGAGAAACATAGACATGGACATTACATGAGAGACTGTCTGGGTCAATCAATTAGGGGGAGATGTTGACAGGAAGACCACATTACAGAAAAATTAATTGTTTTATTTATAGGAAGGCTAGGATATTATGACCTGGACATACCAGAAGGTCAGCTTACTAAAAGACGCAGCCTTCCATATGGAAACGCCTCCAAAAAGACACGGTATACCAAAGGTAGAAGCTTACCAAATATATGATACAGTTTACCAAAAGTCAAAGCTTACCAAATATATGACACGGTTTATGAAAAGGCACCTTTAACAACAGACACAACTTGACAGATGACACAATCTACCAACAGACAAAGCTTACCAAATGCCACAATTTATGAAAATAGACAAATTATACTTTATTACCACAAAAAACATTTCTAACAAACACAGTTTACCAAATGACAGTATATTATCATAAAAAATACCCTTTTCCAGCAGACACATTCCACCAAAGAACATAAAGCAATTTATTACCACCAGAAATATATTTTTTCAACAAACAGTACTTACCAAAAACTTTGACATGCCTAAAGCTTGTTCAGCTCTCGTCCGTTCTGTTGAAAAGTTGGGTTGTTAAGTATGGTTACGTTGTTGTGTTGTCTTGTTGTGTTTTGTAACGGTGTAGTATTGTAACGCTTTGTTCTGTTCTGTTATGGTGCTGTATTGTTACGTTGTGTTTGGTTGTTCCATTTTGTTACGTCATTGTGTTTTATTTTGTTGTGTTGTGTCCCGGGGGGGGGGGTGAAAACTGGACAAAGTAGGGGATAGCTAGGTTCAATGAAGTACGGTGTGGCTTTATGCCACTGAGGCGTCACGCTAGCCGTGAAGGAGAACCCGGGTCACCCCAAAAAGGTGCAGGCTAATGGGGCTCTGGTGAAACTGTTACAGGCCTAGCAAGTCGGCAGCGAATTATTTACTGCTAAAAAAACAAATGGAAGAAGGCATTTCACTGCTAAGCCATGTGGGCAAGATGTAAGCCAAGATATTGGAATGGTGAAAGGGACACAAAGTTTAACCATTTCTGAGTGAGGCCCAAATGGGATTTAGAAAGGGAAGAGGATGCACGGACGCAATGTTTGCCCTACAACAATGTGCGAAAGGGCAATAGAACAGAACAGGGAACTATACATAGTAATTTTCGAGAAAGTGTTCGACAGAGTAAACAGAAACAAGCTTTGGAAATTGTTTGTTTTAGTAGAAGTTTTACGGCGCTCGCAACTGCATAAGGTCATATGAGCGCTAGAAGATTAGAGGTGTTACAAGAGAGTAACAAACATAAAAAAGAAGAGAGGGAGATAAGGACGATAGATGTTTCATAGGAAAGAAGAAGAAAACCACACCAGAGCACCCGCCAACCTCCCACAGCTTTGGAAAGAACCCGAAAACTACACTGTAAGAAGTCAACTTCTGGATAACATCCGTGCCATTTACGAGAACAGCATAAGTAAAGTAAGAACGTCAGAGGGACTCACAGAATGGTTCGAGATAATAAACAGAGTAAGACAAGGTTGTGTCTTATCACCACTACTATTTATCATTATATATA